CAACGATTTGAACCCCGTCTCACTCGTTTCGACTTACACTAAACCTATCACTACTAATTTCACAAATGATCACACACCCAATTCATACAATTGCAGAGTTACAGAGTTCAAGAGAACAATCAATATTCACACATTTCTCATCATTGAAAGACATCAGTTGAAGTGGTAAGAGTTTAGTTACTTTAATGCATACCATCCATTTGATACTCATTCGAAATTAGGTAGTTCAGGTATTGATTGGAATGATGATGATGATGATGATGATGTTTTGTGCATCTGTGTTCATCTTTCGGCAAAACACTATCACTCAATCCCAAATGCACCACAATGCACAATGCACAATCAATCACAAAGCAATACAAACAACTCAGGTGTGTAATCACAATATACTAGTGTAAACTAAAAATAGACATCTGATAACATGTAGGCTGGTTGTTTAGTAGCGCACTTAACATTGATTTCGAATTGTGTAATTGAGGGACCACATGATCCATAAGATTGACAGATTGAATAATGAATGTGAGAACTGGAGAAAATATGGTATAGAGAAGTATTTACTGAATGATTAGACGAAGTGATCCAGTTCCACTGAACATTCGTCATCAATCGAATAAGATTGTTTTCAATATGCATGATCACATAAATTTGTGAGTCATCATAATCAGTTGTTGAATAAGTACTATTTTTGAATATCCGTATCATTCACTATAAGCGACATCCATCTATGAGATGATTTCAGTCGTGACGTTGATTAATCAATCATCATTCAGTTGAGATCCCGAATATTGGAGCATCATTTCTATCAATAAAATTATAAATGACGAGAGAATATTTGTGTCAATCCATTCACAACACATAAATACCAACTAAGACAGATCGATAATAGTAGCGAATTTCAACCACAGGAAATTACATTTACCGAATAACATTTAGCCATTATTTGAACTCAGTAGAATAGGAGATAAACCGTTGAGGTTCGAAGATGTAAACACTGGATTGAAAGATTATTCGAAAATCAACACTTAGATACATGGGTACATAGAACAAACGAGTTAGTAACATGTGTATGTACTTAGAATAATGCCAATTACTTACATTTTAGTCTATACAATACTCAAAATCAAGTGAATCACACCGAATTTGTCTGAACGCTTCAGAAAGCATCTTTCTGTGTTCGAATACTATTAATTCTAATCGGAACAAACTTCCCACTCACAACGCTAACATTCCCACATCCATTCAAACTACTACTATTACTATTACTACTACTGTGGTGTGTGCTACCGATGTCGACAGATACAAGTAGTATGTATCACCAGTCAGAAGTGGAATGCTTGGAGGAAGAACGGTTAGAAGATGGGCGAGAAGAGAGTGATTGCATATGTAAATGAAGGAACAATAAAGTCTGAGACAACTGACGGATATTTTGTAAATGAAGTATTTACTGTATGGTTCTCGATTTCAACTCATTATCACATTCACTGCATGTAATCAACTCTTACTAATTTGTCTTCCTAATCACGTATCTATATTATGACCGGTTGACTGACAACTATTCACTGTGTTTCCATATACACCATCAATGGCAAACACAAACAATCTCAGTAGTTCCGTTTATCACCATTCATTCATCAACATACTCCATCATTCAGTGACTGTATATGCTAGAGTATAGACAATGGTAATTTAGAGTAAAGTGTATACTTATTGTGTAATATGTTGGTTGGAATGAATGAACGATTTTGTTAGTTGTCTAATTGTCTCTCGAAACTATGCATATCATATCAGGTATTTCAATTCACATGACTGAACAATGAAGGTTTGGTACATTTGTAACTGTTGGAATAGGAATCAGGTATATATGGTTCAGTTAACCAGTGTTGTTTGTTGTTTGTGTATCTTCAATTTTGTGAAATGTACAAAATCGTTTAATATATGATAATATTGTTTATTCAGTGGGAACACTATTCACTTCATTATGTGTCTACAAGTCATGATTGATTTGATCTGAGAAAATCAGTGTATCAGTACACATATCGTCATCTATTGTTTTGTGTTAAATAATTCTACATCTATTCTTCTTATAGTTGATATCAAATTTTCATGTTTAACTGGCATTCATGAGTGGTACAATATCAAGTAATATCTCACTGTATTGATTTTGTTACCGAACAATCCACTTAGTGAAATTCACTCCCACTAGACTTGTTGACAAGTTGTCTTCATGAAAACGAATGTGAATCAAGTAGGAAACGTACTAATTCTTGGTGCTTCAACAAATTAAACTAGAATATCAAAGATTTGTGCAATTCACAGTGGTCATCTTATACACTTAATAAACATGTTCATGTGTGTTAACGAGTAATATTTTTAATGAACGTAAAGCAGTTTTACTGTCTAAATGCTTTCCCAGTTTGTTTTTCACAATCCCACACTGACGATTATTATAAGCTCAATTGTGACTAGTTTCAAATGGGAATTCCCGGAATCTGTAATCAATGAAATTTACCATTGTCATGTTTGAAACAGTTACTCACTGAAGACAATGAAAACAGTTTTTCAATATCGTTGATTGATTGAAGTTTAATTGGTATACTATTAGATTCCAGCTCTGTGGTCTAAAGGTGCTGAGTTTACTGAGGAGTCTCATACTAGGACAAAACGGTCATCAACAAAAAAATTCAGTTCTTTCAGGTTTTCAGGGGTTATCTTCCTTACATTGGTTCGTGATTTTAATAAAATTCAACAATCTCCACATCCTTATAATTACAGTTACTTACTAATTTCATGAATAATCTGACCAACTAAATCTTCCTAACAGATACAACAGTCTACAATTTGTACTATTAAATTAAGGTATGATTTATAGTCCTGTTGTGGTGTGTGCCACTTATGTCGATAGATATAAGTAGTATATATCATCAGTCCAATGCGATGTACCTGGTGGCAGAAGGTTAAGAAGAGAGAGAAGAAAAGAGAACGAGAACAAAGATTGAATGGTATGGAGACGAAAGAACAATGAAATCTGAGACAATCAATTGACATTTTACAAATGAAGTATTCACTGTATGATTCTCAGATTGTACTAAGAGATTCTGTAATGTTGTATTCAAATACATTCGATTGTTCCAACTTGTTTTATGGTTCACTATTCTGTAATATAGAAAACTGTATTTAGTAATTCGACTTGCTTACACATAATCAACTAAAACTCTAAAGCCAATTATCCATCAAATGTAAAAGACGGTTACATAGTTTGTTACTAGGGTTTCCCCATGTAAACATAAATCACTTAAAAGTAAGAAAAAATTGTTACTTGAGAAAGAAATACTAATTATTCATTCTATTCTACTCTTTCTACTCTCTAAACCATATGTTCAATACTTCATTTGTACATCCTTCATTATTTATCATAAACTTTATTATCAGTATAGTGGTTATGGAGATTGTTAAGTTTTTGATTGAGATCATGAATCGATTGATGTTAGACCACCATTGAAAACCTGGAAGCGCTGGACGGCCGTTTAGTCCTATTTCGGGACTCGTCAGCAGTGCGCATCCACGATCCCGCTCGCGGGATTCCAACCCAGGACCTTCAGTCTCGTGAGCGGACGCTTAACCTACTGAACCACTGAGCCGACATCCAATGGTGTTAATGTCTAACCTCAACTAATCCACGAAATTACGCGACCATTTTCCATTGTACTGAGATAGACACCTGTTTCTACCAGACACGGATTAGTGTTATGTATTACTGATGTCGACATAAGTAGCATACATTACAATATTACAAGTGAAGATAGTTAACATTAAACTATAGTTTCTAAGTATTATGAATCTATTGAAATGGGATCTTATGTGAATCATTAAATTTCTACACAAACTACTAAATGGAATTATAGTTTATTTCAAGAAACCTGAACGTGTGGTTATTGATCATTTGAATTGTGGAGGGTGAACAATCATACAAGAAGCTTGTGCTAACAAGTTATAATGAAACCACCGCTTTAATTGACTTTACACTATGTAACGTTTGTTGAGATATTATGTAGTTGGAGGCAGTCGGAGAATACTTGAATTCACCTACGTTTCGTGTTAGTTGATATTCATCAATTGTCTGAGAGTTTTAAGCCATATTAATCAGTTACACATTGTCAGACGTTGTTACTTCAGCTATTAAACAAATGGTCTCAAGAATTGTTCACCGAAAATTAATCGTTGAGTAGTGACCAATTCCATGTTTATTTAGTACATGGTGCAGACCGAATCCGATGGAATCACTTTCAGTTAGTTGATCATTCTATCATTATTCTATCCACAACATCAATGAATGTTATGAGTACTCAGTTCACTCGACTAGTCACACCTGTTCATTTCAAATAATCTACAAATGTCAATCGTAATGAGGAGAGTGATTTATGAGCTGAACAATTGTTTGTATTTCTCAAACACTACACGATTCTCTAGTTTGTAATCAGTGAACGTTCTACCAGATTGTGTAATAAAACACACTGTCGATCTACACTGATCCGAGTTGTCAGTTTAGTGGTAAACGGGATTCGGTATAAAGTGAGAATGCACAAGATTGATTAAAGCAATATTACATTCCTGATCACGTCCACTGAGATGTGAACGTGTTCCATGTGACGAATGTTCTGAGATAGAGTGTTTCGATAAGACTACCGAAAAACAACAAACAAATACTTTCATCAGTGAATTTACCAAATTGTGTATTTTCGATTTTATTGAGAACATGAATAATGTATTTGCATATCTTGTATTTTGGCATAGATGTTCACATCGAATGATCAAGTGATCTGGATGAAGTGTGAATCAACAGATTATTTTACAATGTTAAATACTTAAAAAATCTGAATGATGAAAACAACGAGAATGGTCGTTATGCGTGAATGGTGATAAAAGTGTGTTTGTTTGTTTGTGTGTGTGTGTGTGTGTGTTAGAGTAGAAGGAGTGGGAGGAATGTTTCTGGTTGTCACCGATTACGGTGATGCAGACGCCATCAACTTCTTACTATCGCGTTGTGATTCTTCATAATCAATGTCCACAACGAAATCGGATTTCCTATCCAAATGTATACCGATAGTCAATTCGTATAAGACTGCACCGATCACAGCACCAATATACGGTCCAGCTATCGGTATCCAGAAGAAGTAGTTTCCTCCACTGAATGCTTGGTTACCCCAACCTAAACATGTGACATGAAACAGTGTATAATAAAGTGAGAATATATGGATAGATTACAAACTGAGTGTAATGCATATTGATCGTTATGTTATTCATTGAATATATTGAAAATATTTGGATACGAACTGTAGTAATTCTATGCAAGAGATGATTAGATGAATTTAAGTAGTAGTACAAAGGGAGTTATGTTCAGTAGTTCACGACAGAAGTGACATCACTACGTTCAGTTTAGTGTAAGCATGCACGATAATCAAGGCTAATGGAAGTTATCTATCATCCATACATTTGTGTGATTGTATCGACATTTAAGAAACCTAATTGAATGACTTTTTCGAATCATGTTAGAATCTCCTATTGAAAGTAGGAGATCACATTAATCCTTCCTCTGATCGATTTCCACTCTCGTCTACAATGACATTTGATCGTGAATTCCCATTGCGCACATCAACATAATCCACCCAATACACTGTATCTCAATACCAATGAAATGATCTATGTGAGACACTGCAAAATGTTCGACCGTATGAATATAGGACACATTCATCGTCAACCTGTCACTCAACTTTGCATCACCAATCTTCTCTCTCATATTTTACAGTTGATTGACCACTTTTGATTTCACAGATAGAAATCATGAGTCAGTTGACACTAGATCATCATGGGGAACCTGGAAGCACTGGACGGCCGTTTCGTTCTAGTATGGGACTCCTCAGCAGTGCGCATCCACGATCATGCACCCCGCGAGATTCGAACCCAGGACCTACGGGCTTCGTGCGCGGGCACTCAACCACTAGACCACTGAGCCGGCCGGCCACCATCGGTGTTAATGTCTAACTTCAACCAATCCACGAAGTTGCGCCACCGTATACCATTGTCTTCAGTGAGCTGATATCTCACAACAGACCAGTGGAGTTCAACTAGGTCATGGACGCGCACTGCTGAGGAGTCCCATATTAGGACGAAACGGCCGTTCAGTGCTTCCAGGTTTTCCATGGTGGTCTAGCTTCAACTGACTCATGATTTCAATCTGTGAAATTTCTAAAATCTCCACAAACCCCTTCTGATATTTTTGATTTGTTGTAATCTAGCAATTTTTGCACATGAATGATCACAGAATCTCTGAATCTGAATAGCCTGAGATAATGCGAGGAACATGTGTGACCATCCGACCTTCTTATTGACACATCGTGAATGGACGAGAATGATGTATGGTGAATAGATCGTTCAGTGTATGCATCAGTATCATTGTTCATTTAGACAGTGTTGATGTTGTGGTTAGGCATTCAGAAACTGCATAATACTATTGAATTTGTGAGAGTGTTACTCCCCAATTATCTCTTATAGACGAGTTCTTTCTATCAATCCATTTACGATTTGTGTGATGAATGTGATGATGAAATGACTGAGTGAACGTCGTGATTCTCTGTTGATTTGTAAGTATTGTGTTACTGTCGAAATAGTGAATAGTGGCGATTGTGGGTAATATTGATTGAAGGGAGATGAACTAAACTAAACCTAATTGAAATAAAGTGAACATACAGTACATGTTGAGTTACTTCCCCTGTTGATGTTTTGTAATAATGTGTTACAAACAAATCTACTCACTGTCAAGTACATGAATGGATGTTGCAATGATATGAAAAATACTATTGTCAGAACGAATGGTCTAGTGGAGTTATCATCAGACTAATGAAATGTGATGTGAGTGTGATGTTGTTGAATAACTTTGACAAAATTATGAACATTACACCTGATTCAATTCCTAATGATAACGAAAATCAGTTATGATTGGACGAAAACCAAAACTGAAATTATTCTATTTTAGTGTAGTCAGTGATTAAGGCAATCAATTGTCAGTCGGTCAGTCAGCCAGTCACTTAGATAGTCAGTGAGTCAGTCGATCGATTTGTGAAGTGATATCATCTGAGTTTCAGATATGTTTATGGACGAAGTAAAGTGTGAGTCTACTCATGCAACTGTTAGTACTCGTTAGTGAGAATTGAGAGCAAGTGAATAGTATGAATGGGAAACGGACAACTTACCGAATATAAATATCATGAGTCTGGGTCCTAAATCACGAGCTGGATTTAGAGCAGCTCCAGCATTCAATGCGAAACAACCAACAATAGCGTAGACCATAAATGCCAAATGTAGTGGGTGTAAGTAGTCAGGAAGTTTCCATCCATTTGGATCGGTGATGGCGAACGCTCCTGCTGTCAACAATGCAGTGCCGAGAATTTGATCGAGAAAGCATGTGAGATGAGATGCCGAAGGATTAGTGACGAATATACCACCTGTGGAATTCACCAACAACTTCCCATTGTCATGCAAGTCGGCATATTCTATGATTTTTTCACGATATAAGGCGAAGACAACCAATGAACCGAGGAAAGCACCGAGTATTTGAAAGAATGTATAAAACGGTATTCGACGGAATGGCAGTTTACCGACGACTGCAGCTGCCAGAGTTACGGCTGGATTACAGTGTCCAGAACCACACTGTCCTGAGAACATCACTGCCATGTACACTGCGAAACCCCATCCCATACTGATTGAAATGAATGTTCCATGAGCATGTCTGCCATGATCACCCAGGATCACTTGTGCTAGCACACCACTACCGAAGATCATCAAAATGATTGAACCCATGAATTCGCCTAAACATGCACGCACCAATGGACTTGAAGTCAATCGTAGACGATCAGCGATAATATGCTGTTTGTTGGCATATTTCTCTGCACACGAAACCATATTTCTTCTACGACTGGCTTTTCGATAACTGCGTGTCGATTGAATTGTTACTGCCAGAATTATCTATCAATGCGAATTGTCTATCTCAATTGTGTTCGGATATCTCACTGACAATTAACTGTATGATATACGTGTGCGTGTGCGTGTGCGTGTGTGTGTTGATCACTGACCGTAGATTGTGTTGTTATGACCGTGTTTATTTTGATATTGAATGAAGCTGTGAGTTAAGCAGAAAATAGTCGGAGTGAATTAGAGATTGATTGTGTATAATGTATTTCAGATGGCGAAATGGGTAATCTATACACACTGTATCATTTATATTGTTTTTCTTCTTACTCAATCAATCACGCACGCACGCACGCACACCTACACACAGATGCATATCCATTCATGAACATATATTATTGTAAGCATATGCCTCCACGTACACACATACACACTTACACACTCATGTGTGGATTCGTAATAATTAGTTTCCATGATAGCATTCACAGAAAGCAACATATTTGATGTGTCAATCAAAAGATTGATGGATTGATTTGCCTCCGTGTAATTCATGTATGAGTGTATTCTTCTTAAGCGATAGAAATAAGAGTAGTAGTAGTAGTAGTAGTAGTAGTAGTAGTAGTAGTAGTAGTAGTAGTAGTAGTAGTAGTAGTGGTAGTAGTAGTAGTAGTATTAGTAGTAGTAGTAGTAGTAGTAATAGTAGTATTGGTGTGAGAACCATGCAGTAAATACTTCATTTGTAAAATATCAATCGATTGCTTCAGACTTTGTTGTTCCTTTGTTTCCATATTAATTACTCTCTTTTGTCGTACACTTCTCCTCGGTTTCCTCAACCTTCTTCTGAAAAGCATTCAACTTTCCATTGGTGATATACACTACTTGTATCTGTCGACATCAGTAGCACACACCATATATGGAATACTTTATTTATTTTTATGCAATTACTGACTAGTTAACGAACCATCTCACAGTTCATCATCGTCATCATCATCGTCAATTTTAGTAAATACTGTAAGATATTTTGTTGTTATTACAAAAATATGAATGTCAAGTTTGTTTGTAGTTCACATCGTACAGCATTCCTATATCATTTGATGCCTCAATGGGTCCATGCTATCAGGTTATTTGAAGGAATATGTTGAAACTTCAATATGAATCTGAGTAAGTCTTTTGTATAAGTATGTCAATAGTCTCAATAAGCTGGTGATAGGTACAGTTATAAATGATGTTTATTTATAGTACATGCTTCAAAAATGTGTTAGGCACTAATGCAAATGACAATATTCCGAGATGTTATCCCAACTTTCTGCCGCTAGGCATTCCACTTTCGATTTATGATTGCTTACTTATGCCTGTAACTCCTCGTGGAGGAGGATAGGCCGCCAAACGTTACTCTCCATCCAACCCTATCATGGGCAATACTTTCAAGCTCCTTCCAGTTATTATTCATCCTTTTTATATATGCTTCTATTTCTGACGTAATGTGTTATTTGACCTTCTTCTTTTCTGCTTCCCTTCAGGATTCCAAGTAAGGTTTTGCCTCGTGATGCAGTTTGACGATTTCTGTAATGTATGTGCTATCCACTTCCAACATCTTTTCTTAACTTTCTCTTCATCTGGAAGCTGATTTGTCTTCACCCACAATAGGTTATTGCTAATGGTATTCAATCAAAGGATATTGAATATTTTGTGTAGACAACTATTCATAAATACATGTAACTTTTTGATAATGGTTGTAATGATTCCCCAAGTTTGAACTCCGTACAGTAGAACTGGCTGTCTTGACATTCTTAATGAAGATTGTGACTTTGATATTGCTTGACAGACAGATGTTTTATGTTCCATATATTGTTCAACTGTATGCATGCGGTTTTTGCTTTGTCAATCTTTGACATCACGTCTGCTTCAGTTCCCCCTTGTTCATCAATGATACTGCTCAGGTACGTGAAAATTTGCATCCGTTTCAGAGTTTCTCCATCAAGTGTGATTGGGTTGGTGTTCTCCGTGTTGTATTTGAGGATCTTGCTTTTTCCTTTGTGTATGTTGAGGCTTACTGTTGAAAAGGTTCCTGCTACACTAGTTGTCTTCATCTGTATTTGTTCGTTTGTATGGAATGGCAGAGCTAGGTCATCTGTAAATTTCGAATCTTCCTATTGATTCCGAGCTCTCCAATGTATCTCGTGCTTCCCCTCAGATGTCGAGGTCTTCATAATCCAGTCAACAATTAGAAGAAAAGGAGCTGATGAGGGTGGGCAACCTTGTCTGACTTTGGTCGTCACTCCAAATGTATTTTTCAGCTGTCCTCCATGCACGACATTACAGTGTAGCCGTCGGATAAATCCCGGATGATGTTGATGATTTTCTCAGCTACTCACTCCATTATATAGAAGACGTTTCCATATGGTTCTTCTATCCACACAGTCAGACGCTTTCTCATAGTCAATGAAGTTGATGTACAGTGACAAGTTCCACTCAACTGAGTGTTCAATGATGACTGGTAGTGTCGTGATTTGGTCTGTGCACTACCGATCTTTACGTAATCCAGCCTGTTGATCTCGAATCGGGACGTCTACTGAATCCTTCGTGATGTTCAGCAACACTGTTGAAAACTTTCCCTGGTTCTGACAGTAGTATGATGCTTCTGTAGTTCTCACATTTGCTCAGATTTTTCTACTTTGGTATCTTGGTGAGTTGTCCTTCTTTCCAGACTGTCGGTGGCACTTATTCCTTTTCCTGAATCTTCTTGAATAGAAAGAGGAGCATATTTGAAGTGTTTTCAGTGCTGGTAAATTTTCAAGTCCTCCTACTTTCCCACAGTTAATTTATCAGATGAACATGCTGATTTTTTTGATCGTTGTGGTGTGACAGCAATAAGGTGTGTGTGCTGTTTCGACGTCCAGTGGGTTCAGTGGGGACAGTCTATTCAATAGTTTCTCAAAATGCTCTAACTATATGTCCCACTGTTTTTGAATTTCAATGATTAGCTTTTCTTCATTGTCCTTGATCGGTTTCTCTGGTTCGTTATATTTCCCTGTCAGTTTCTTCTTTATTTCACATATCTGTCTCATATTTCTTTCTCTTTTAGCTTCTTCCTCTGTCAGCTCTAATTCTCTTTTTCAATTGCTTGTTTGCTTCAGTGTTTTCAGTTTGTGCCCTGACGTTCTCTGTTCTTATTCAACTTTAGTTAATTGCTGTCTTCTTTTCCTGCCTTTCTTGAATATTTGTTGTGCCGGAAAAAAAAGAAAAATGCTGATCACTTATACTGAGAACGAGGGGCCTCGGCAATTCCCACGATGCGAAAGTAAGAACACAAGACTGGTATAAGTGATGATTTATTAGCCCCAAAACACGACGACGAACGATGATCAAAATGGTCTAAAATACACTGGTTTATATATTGATTGTACACCCATTTTGATTAATAATTAGGATGACATCACACACACAGTTATAACAAATCACTTATTGAGCCTAGTTCATGTCAATGGAATACAAGAATATCGTATATAATACAGAAGAAAATATTATACTGGGAAAGCAAATCAAATACTACACTGAATGATCCTCACGTTGATTCAAAAAGGATGTTGAATGTTGAACAAAACTCATAATGAGTAATGTAATCGAAAATTGACTTTTCCTTCCATCATATCAAGCAATAATTAATCTACTGAGTATAAGTCGGGTCCTAATAATATTGTCCAGGGTTTCCATAGAGATCCATTCCTTTTGATGATGCTTGTTTCAGCCGAGAATCTTGTAACGCAATGAAGTCGATATTTGTTTGATCTATTTCCAGTTGTCCTCCATAGCAGTTTCTTATTCTTTGAGTAGATCCTGTAAGGCTTATAGCTTACTGTTGAGAGTTATAATAAGTTCGTTGAGTTCATCAGTATATATATAACATCATTCATTCATACAACACAATAAGTACACAAACAAGTAGAAAGTACTTCCAACCCTCATTCAAATCCCTAATAATAATAATAATAATAATAATAATAATAATAATAATAATAATAATAATAATAATAATAATAATGCGAACGTTAAAATAAACGATTCCCAATAGATGATAACATTCCATTGTTTCATTTCATTCTGTCACAGCAGATGGTTTATCATCGACGTATTTTGCTGCGTTAATTTCAGCCTCGAAGACTCATTATTTTATTGCCTCTGTATCTGATTCCAGGTGGATCGTACAATTGATTGTTACTGATATATACGAGGATTGGCAACATGTGTATATAAAAGTAACAATCATTGGTATGATCCAATTGGAGTCACATAACGAACCACTAAACTATATCAGACGAAATTTACTTAAGAAAAACAATTAGAGTGAACATTTATAGATAGTCGAAAGAAAAATCCCTTTTAAGATTAAAAAAGAGAAAAGTAAAACAAGAAGCAAGAAATTATGAACAATATTGAAGAAGATCCAACTAGTGTCAAATTGATAGTATTCTCAAACTACATTTCAGTTAAATTATATTGAAGAAACTCAAATAAGACAGACAGTACTAATGTTGGAATAACTTCATTTCAATCAACAAGGTATTTTTAACAACACAATAGATTAATCAGTAACTGAGAAGGGGGTGAAATTCCATACGGACAAACAACAATAAAGTAGGTAACAAACTAAATAACTTGAAATACCGTATACAGTTCCTTAACGAAATTATGCATAAACGAAAGAACAATGCAAATCAATATCCATCCCACAGTCAACAAAACACAACTCAATTCAACTCAACTCAACTCCATTCATACTATTCAATTCATTCACACTACACAATCAGTAAACAAATAAATTAGAAAGTACTTCCAACATTCATTCAAATCCTCGATACCAATAATAATCATTATGATAATGATAATAACCATGCGAACATTAAACTAAACGATTTCCAATAGATGATAGATAACAGTTCATTGTTTCATTTCATTCCATCATTTCATTCATCTCTTCTCATTCTATCATACTC